CTATAGTTTGCTCAATGAAATGTAAAATCGTGTAATGCTAAAGGTGATATTCGCAACGAAGATTTTTAGCGCAACACAGCGTTGCAATGTTGTAACAATTCGAAACAACGTCGCAACAATGCTGCAACGCTGTGTTGCGCTAAAAGTCGTCGTGGCGAATCGTCTCGTACAACATCACCTTAAGCGGCGAAGGCAGCGAGAACGGTGAAAAAACAACAATAGCAAAAAAGCAACTTTGCACGTGCAGCACACTTTTTTGTACATTTCTTTGCCGTTGTTTTGCACGACCACAACGTGAAACTTCCAGAAACTTCCTACGTGTTCTACCATTTCTCATTTTCTCACCGCCGCTACAAAATTTCATGATATTCCTCCAACAAAAAATGTCTCCTTTGTTTTTTCTTTCTCGCTCAGTTGCTCTTTTTCTCGTTGAGCTTCGCTGGCCTGTCGCCTCACCGTCTCCTTTTCTCTGTCTTTCTCTTTCTCTATTTTCCAAATGTGTGGACATGACAATTAATCTAAACTTAATACTTTAGACAACAGGATACAGAAATATTTTCCGCTTTCCGTTTTCGTCTTTATTGACTCTTTAGTTGTTTCTGCTTCACAAGACGCGGGTGGCCATGAACTTTCCGGCCAAAATAACCTGACATTCGGCATCGGCTTACATTAAGTGGGTGTGCTGACGGTCGGCGTTTGTACGCTTTTCGCTACGTCATAACCAAATTTTCTTGCTTTCATAGGTTATCAATTTATCTTAGCAATGAGGCTCCGCAACGCGCTTCGCGCGCGGGAGCTCCGCTACAAAGGTCTAATAGAAGAAGTACCCGCGAGTTTTACGGGGATCTCCCGCAAACGCGTGGGAAACTATGGCGGAAGATGCGTTGAGGAAAGAATGGGAAATTTTCGGGTTTGAAAGACTCAACAAGCATCAAGAGGAAGCCTGTTGTTGAATCAAAGAGGGATGCTTTTGTGAATCTTCCAACTGGTTTCGGAAAGTCTGTAGTACTTCAGGCTTTGTCTATTCAGGGGCACCCAACGACTGTTTACTGTAAAATATCTCAGTCGGAGAAGCAAATATTGCCCAGAATTATCTATTACTTTATCTATTAAATTCGCTACAATTTTCTGAAGTTTAATCATGCAGTTTCACATTTCACTCCCCAGGTTAGGCTATTTTTCATAAAAGAAAGGAAACCTAAATTTTCGGATTCAAAAATATGATGGAAAGAGGAATCAGAAAAATTATTTCCTTCGTAATGCATCAGTCAATTCCAGCTGCGCCAAGTCCCCCCCCCCCCCC